GAGAGAGAGAGAGAGAGCGTTAACAACTCAAAGTGGAAGGAGGCGAGGCAGCCTTCTTGAAATGGTGTAGAAATGTTGTGATCGACAAAATGCAATGATGATAGTGTGAATGATGCAATGTGACTGAATGTAGGATGAGTAGTTGGAGCTTCATCGTCTAGACGGGCAGTTGAGTACCTGGACAGGTGATCTCGGTTCCATTGTCGGAGAAGTGTATATCGCACAGGGTGGCAGAGGAATGAATGGTGACTCCAACAGCTTGAAGACGCTCCTCACCTGTACCGCTGCCATCGCCACTGCCGCCACTACTTCGACGCAACCAACGAACCCATTCCAAGGGTTCGTCAGTGGGAACTACGTTGATGCCTTCAACACCTCGGCCACCGCTCATCTTCATTACTGCTTCACGTTCTAGGCAAGAGGATACGACAATTTAGAGTTAACGCAAAGAAAGAATAAGTGGCTATAAGGCACTCAAAATCCAACTCACCTTCAGGCTTCCATCTGGAGATTCCAGCAATAAGCGCTTCACCCGTAATGGGATGCAAACACTCTCCAGAGAGCACATAGATCCGGGCTCGGACTTGGGTGAAAAATTGCATTGCCATGGCAAAGGGAACACGAATTATGTAGCCCGGAACCCAGATGACATCTAAGTGGATTGGTGAACCCGGAGGGAGGGTCTCTGGTGCTTTGGAGGTTGTGGAAGGTGTAGAGGCCTTCGTGCCTTAACGAGGATGCAAGAATGAAAGAAGTAGGCAAATTTGAGCCAAATTAATGAAAGATTCGATTGACAATTGCAATAGAAGTACGCTGTGAGCTCTGTTTCCAAACCCTTTTAGCAATCCTAGATACACACCAACGCATCCCATAACGCCTTACCCAAAGTTGATGAGCGAGCAGTTGTAGGTCTTGAGGAACGGCCTAAAGTGGAGGAAAAAAACATGTCAAATTTAATCCCCCGAAAGAAGTGAATAGTTTGGTGGCATTTTTTCTTTCCATACTTACCCAACGTCGTTCTGGAAGGCATCACTGGAGCTGGCATTCCCTGTGGGTGGCCCCATTGAGTTAGTGGATCAAAGGGAACGGTACCACTGCTGTCAGTGCCACCTGCAGGCTTTTCTGAAGGATCAGTGCCCTTTGTAAAGTCTCCAGCCTCGAAACCGTTGGCTTCATCACGATGTGGTGACGCTGGTGACTTAGCTGTAACCACAAAAATTAATTTCATTTATTAAAATAGGAGGCTAAATATAGGGATTTAGGAGACAAGGTCGAAACGTACAAAATGGTACTTCCATATCTCCTGTTCCAGCTAGAGTAGTAGTGGGAGACTTCTGATGGAAGGATGGATCTGTTTCCGCTTCACCAACTGCTTCATTGTCGCCTTCATAAACCTCCGGTTGATGTTGGCTGTAAAGCAATGGATGCTGACTGGAGAAACCGGAAGGTGCTCCAGAGTTGGGTGATGTTGCGGTGGCGGTAGGGAAGGAGGAAGAGACCGCTTCCGGAATAAAACCAGGTGGAATGGGAGCAGCTTCGGTATGAATCACAGAGCCGTTTGATACTTCGGAACTGGGACTGTGGACACTAAAACGCAGAAAAGCGGTTTGAGAATCTATCGAGTTTTAGACAGTGAAACAGACATCGAAATGATATCTAGCTTTGCACTCACATTTCTTCTACCGGTCGTCCAGAAGTAACATCCATGAATCCAATGGGTGGACCATCATAGGTTGTGGAATCTGCAGGCTGTGAAGTACATTCCTTCTGCAACTGATACATTAAATCTCCATGAATCGGAGGCATATTGTCCGGTGGGTAGTCACTTAACTCCACCTGATCTGTAACCTCCGGAATAACCTTCCCACCACCCACACTTATCTCATGAACTGGGAATTCATCATCTGCTGTCGTTGTTTGAGGATGTGGATGTGATGGTTCCTGGAATCCCGTCACATCCTTGGTGTAATCGCCAAGATTTGACGGTAAAAAACCTGTTTCAGGAGATCTGCTTAGTTCCTGAGATCGACTTAGCATCGAAGTATCGAAGGGCTCATGCTGAGCACCACCACTAGTAGGCAAAGCGAAGTCCATGTCTCCTGGAGATTTCGAGGCTTCATACTCAGGCAGAGTTTGGGACTTGGACGCGGGAGATTCGGGTGATTGATGTTGTACTGCATACTCGTGATCCATGTTTGCAGAAAATTGAGCGCTCCCTGTGATACCAGGAGAAACGAAATCAGGAGAGAAAGACAAATGTGCTTCGTTTGGAGATTTTACCGAATCAAAATCACCATGAGAATCAGCAATATGATGGATTCCACGTTCTGACTCAGCTGAAGTTTCCAAGTTTCCTCCGTAAATGGGCAAATTCGAGTCAATTCCAGAGCCATGATGTGCCATGAAACCCGCATCGGCTGGTGACGTCGACAAATTCATGTCGGCAGGCATCGCAAACGTCATTCCAGCTGGTGATTTCGACACGTCCTCATGCACTGGCGACTTCGACTCCTCCAAATCCTCCTCGTGTTCA